GACACAGAAACTACGGCCGGACTTAGTGATTAAGAGAGGAAAGACGGTTCTCATTGTCGATGTAACAGTCCCGCTCGATAATAGAATGGCTGCCTTCGAAGTTGCGGCCAGATCGAAAAAAGAAAAATACGAACAACTAAGAGCGGAGCTTGTTAGCGAGCATGGAGCTGTTGAGGTAGTCCCATTCATTGTCGGCGTGCTGGGATCATGGGACCCTAACAATAATAAATTTATGCGCCAGTTATGCAGCCGGAAATATGGGGACCTGATGCGAAAATTGTGTGTCAAAGATACCATCAGGTCCAGCAGAAATATATACATTGAACATAATACGGGAGTTCGGCAGGAGCTGGATTTAATTTAGTTTATACTATCTTTTTTTTTCTTTCTCTCTTTATATATATTATTATTATTTTTTCTTTCCATTTTCCGTATATTGAAACATACAAAAATAAAAATCTGTTCTTATCAGCTTAACGTCTGATACACCCCCAATGGGGGGGTTCAAATGTTAATCTAATATTTGAAAACTAGGCGGAGAGTTTGGGGCTTGCTCCTACTACACCGTGGGTTGTCCCGGTATCGCACCTCCACCGGGAACGGCCCATTATAATTAATCGGCTAAGATCAAATGTGAAGTAATTCTTATCAGCTTAACTGATTCCATCTTACTCATTTCTTTTACCTTCTTTCATGTTTTTCCTCTTTTTCATTTTTATTTCATTTTTTCTAGTGTACATTAGTTAAAATTTATTTATTTTTTCTTTTTTTTTACTGCTTGTAGTGTCTGTCCATGGTCCTGATCTCCACTAGCGGTGACACCGTACCCTTGCGTGTGCGATTTTGTTGCGTTAGTCTATTGGAGGACGGCCTAGGTACACATTTTCAAAGCGAAATTTGCTATACCGTCGAGCGGATCCCTTGCTATAAGTTCTTTAATGAATCTTAGGCGTACTAGATGTCAAACAGCTGCAGAGTCGGATGGGGTCTCAAGGATACCGGTGTGTCCTAACAGAAATCATTAATACCTGCTTGCGGTACAGGCGAGTTCCGGCGGTGTGGAAACGTTCGCTCACTGTTCTAATTTATAAGAAGGGTGATGT